CTAAAAAAAAGAGAGCAAGGGTTTTGTTCGACCTTTTTTGAGTTTTCTCCCTTTAAAGGCCCTTGGCCGCCAATGAAAAATGAAAAGATAGAAAGCAAAGAGGAATCAGAAAGAGAGAACAGAGAGGAATTTGAGAGAACCTACTGGTGCCCTAGCCATAGAAGAAGAAATCAGAGGAGGGGATGCAATCAGAGGAGTCAGCCAAAATCGTGGTGGTTGTTAATAATTCCATTAGAAATCAACAAAAGCTTCAATTACTTCTCCTTTGCTGTCTCCAACGAAAACCATCTAAGTCCATTTTTGTCCCTTCTTCGTCTTTCATTTTTTATTCGATAAGCTCATCTAAATTTGCTTATAGGTGGTTTCGTATCCAAAGCCTTCACGAGCTAATGGAACAATTAAGTCCCGTGGCTAACTTCAAGCTACGGGAAATATTTTTATGGCTAAACCATTTAGTTACGGGATTTTCACTATTTAGTTATAGGATCTCTTGAAGCTGTAGATGTAAAATGTAATAGTGATAATTTGCTTTTTCCATTCAAAACCCAATTCTCAGAATTCAGGTTAGGTATCCTCATAGTAAGTTTTACATTATTGGACTTAAATCCCATTCCTCTTGAGTTTTTCCTCCAACTTTAGTTTTTACCAAAGGCCTAGTTGGTGGAATAGTGGGTAACAAAGCGATTTAACTCATTCTTTTTCTCACTTTTTCTTTTTACATCAACCCACATGTCTAATAGCTCATAAAATTTGCATTCATATTTTCACTCACTTTCACTGCAAGAGAACAAGCAAAGGCCAGCATTTTTTTAGCCAAACTCAGCATTTAAAAAGCTATTAAAAGTCACTCCGTCGTTTCTTGAAACGTTACTAGTACACCGGCCTTGTAGCTATCGGCTTTTGTATTTTTAGCATTTTAAAAAACGCTAAAATAACCCACTCTAAGGCCACATTTCTATGAATGCTGATTTATGTCCCAAAAAACATTGGTAAAGCCCAAAATTTTCTTATTTGGTGGCTTCAGGATTAATTTCTATTCCAGCATTTTTAAACACTAGATTTTGTTATTTTTCTAATTTTTTAGGCAAAATTCTTTTTTTTTTTTTTAAAAAAAAAAGATATTTGCACTTGAAACATAACTAAATTCAAAAGAACACACTCATAACCAAAAGTATCAATCATATATTATTGAAATTAACATCATACAGTTAACTAAATTCATGACAACTTAAAATATTAACATTCAAATTCAAAATAAACAACCTCCATTCATATTTACCCAAGACGTAAGTAGTTACTAATATGAGCCTAAAAGCTTGAGGATGAAAGGCACTAGTCAAGAACTAGACCACCATGGCGGGAATGAGAAGAAGGTACTCGCCGATGACCCTAAATCAAATGGTCAAAAGAGAAATCAATTAACTTAATTTTCCAAATCAATTCCCAAATAGCCACAAATTATCCAATCCTCATATTACTAAAATACATTAAGCAAATTATAATGAAAGTGAAAAATTCAACAGCAAAAATGAGTTGCGTTGCACTTGCATGAGCACACTAGGTAGCTCTAGCCTACAGCTAGACATCATCTTATGAAAAAATTAGCATATAAGCTTGAATTTCCAAGCTTAACAAACCCTACATGCATTATAACTCTCTAGCACTTAATGGCACAAAATAACTTCATAACATAACTAAAATTGAAGAAATTACTTACAGGAGTACTATTTGTAGCTACATCTTGAGGCATTGCCATGTGTTGCATCAATAAATCTAACTTTTCGTGAAGGGATTGGATCATTCCTCGTTGTTCAACCACCTCTCTTTGCAGCTTCTCAAATTCTTCATCCGTGTGGATTGTGGAAACTCTAGGACTAAACACTCGTGTTGGGGTTGGTCCCAACCCTAAGCCTCGTACTCTTCCAGGGCGCTCATTTCCCAATACCTCAGACATAATTTCCAAATCTTCTTGATATGAATCTGTTGACTGTGTTCCTGACCTTTCAGCCTTTTTTGCTCTTGCCTTTTCCTTTTGGAACAAAAACCCAGCAAAGACAAGAGTTAGGTACTTGCAAAAAAAAAAAAAAAAATGGTTGACATTATTGTTCAAGAAATATTACCAATAAAACAGGAATCTCAGGGTCAAGATAGGACCCATTCGTACGAGTGTGGGTTACTTCATAGACTTTAATTCTTCCTACATTGCTTCCGGCTGCCTCATTCTTTAAAAATGAAAATCAATTTAGTTTAGCATAGGTGTAATGTGAAAAACTCAAAGTGGACATGTCCTATATAATTTGTATCAAAATTTTATATTACTGAAAAAATGAACGGACAACAATCTATAAAAAGTTAGTACCAGTTCATCTTCCACCCTTACAAAACTTTTGCTGCCTGAGGTGTGGGTAATCTTTTGGTAGGCCCTGCTTCGTTTTGTAGCTTCTTCAATTCTCTGCAGCTTCTTCAATTCTCTGCAAAATTAAGAAGACAATTATGTTCACATGTCGAACATCATGTGTCAACATCTCATGATGAAAGATGAAAAATGACATACCTTTCCCTTATCACTCATCCAATAACTAACCAAATATTGCCATTGGTCAGCTTGTACATCAGCTGGGCATTTTTTGAGGTTGAATTCTACTGATTTATTACGGTAGAAATACTTAGACTTCAATAAGTTTTTATAACTCCTCCATTTGGAAACCATGCTTTCATTACCCATAAGTCAATGCTAGCTGGGTATAAGAACTTTTGTTGCAGCATAATCATTACTAGTATTGAAAGCTTGAATAAGAATGGAAAATAGAATTACAAACATATTGTACTTTTAGAATGTTAATCAAATGGAGCTTCGTGCCTTTTGGAACCTTTGGCCAATTTGGATAATTTAAAGGACAATGGTTTCTAACCAACACTCCAATGTAGTTAGTAAATGTTTTGGTAGAATCTTTCACCGGCTGTCCAAATCTATTTGCTCTAACACGAAGTCTTTGGTTAGCAGGTAGTCTCCATACATCTTCAAGAACTGTTTTTCCTCTCCTTCTAATAGAAGAACCTCCATTGCTATTATTATCTATATCTCACAAAAATTTATGGTATATAAAATCAGGCAATACCCAAGGCCTAACTTTTCTAAATCTCAAAAAAGAGGCAGCAAAACATGGTTGAAGCATTCACTAACCTGTAGGTTCTTGACTGTTTGTAGTAGCATTTATGTTAGCATTCTCACCACTCCCATTTTGCCTAGTATTGGATGTCTCAGCCAAAAGTATGATTGTGTCAAACCTCTTCCTGCTTCTTCCCATGATAATGTAACCTGAACTAGATTGTTAGATAATCCAAAAAGGAGAATATAAAATGAAAAAAATTCTACTCAATCCAAAAACATTAAAACCATTTCATTACAGTAAACTTAAAAGGGCCTTGGGACCTATAAAACTTACTGCACCATTTCATTCTAAAGTAGCAAATAAAGTTAAAAATTGTAAAGCAACAATTACAAGCAATCAATGGAGAAAAAGAAAGAAGAAGCACTGCATTAGTTGATCAGATTACACAATTGTTCCTTCAATGTCATTGCGCGCACTGCATTAGTTGATCAGATTATACAATTGTTCCTTCAATGTCATTGCGCGCCCAATTATGTAATTGTTCATCCTCCATATTGGAATCCTCTAATTGTGGCAAATGAATGCACAAATTATCATTTTGGCCATAATTAGATTCTCCTCCTTTATCTTCATTTTGGTCACCCAAAGCAAACACCTGTCTTGGTGTTGTTTTCAAGACAACATGCCAATCTTTATCTTCAGGATCTTGAACATAAAATATTGGTTGCCCTTGAGATGGAATAACAAATGGTGCATGGCTTATGCTCACCCCTTCGTACATCAAGTGTTTAAAGTTCACAAGTGTAAAACCAAGCTCATCTATCTTAATACCTCGACCCCTAGTTCTAACATCTACCCAATCACCTTTAAATAACACAACCTTGATACCACCATCATAGTCTGACTTAAATACATCCGCTAAAACACTGTAATGCTCAACATCACCTTCAACAGGATAGTTGTCCTTCCTTGAGGCATAACTTTTGTTTTTGAAGTGACAAGAATGCCACTATTTTGGGTTCTAAGATGAAGCTCACGATTTTTAGTGTGAAATCATGTTCCATTGAATATAAAGGATTTGTATCTAGCAACTAACTTATTTGGACCACCGGCAAGCATCTTTATCATAGGGGATACATCTCCCTCATTCAAATTGGATACCTAAATTGAAAGACAAAAAAGTTAATAATTATATAGAAATGTTGTCTTAATGTTTAATTTTAATTACCTAAGTTAATTTTAACTACTTACATGGTCTGCAAACCATGAATGAAATTGTTCATTCTTCATTTTATTAATTTCATGCTCCTTTGGGTGTTGCGATCTGTTACGTGACTTCACTTCCTTCACAAATAACCTATCTATAAAAAACTATGATAAACTAGAACTGAAAGGATTTATAATAATTATTATTTTTTATTTAAAAGATTTGAGTTAACTTACTCAACAAATGGGAGGACCTCTTCATGTTGAAAGAGCACATAACGATGTGCTTGTGCCCATGTTAACAGAATCTAACCTCAACATTTGTACTTTACCCATTGCTCTCCCACCACTTGAGAGCAAATAATTAGCACCGATTTCCTCATTTCCTCAAAGTTGTCCTCATTCCTTCTTGGCCTATTGAATTTTGTCTCGATTCCCTCAAGATACCGGGAACAAAATGTGGCACATTCTTTGAGCCAAATAACCTTCAGGATAATTATTGTTTTTATTGTAATTCTTTAACCTCAGCCAATACCTAAGCAAGGACAATTACAAGTAAATTAAATTATGGAAACTTTGATATGGAGTATGATACTATTGAATAGATTATTTACCTCTCAATTGGGTACATCCACCTGAATGGGATAGGACCAGCAACCTTGGCTTCATTATGAATCACCAAGTGAACCATGATTGTGAAGAATGAAGGAGGGAAAATTTGTTCCAAGTGACAAAGAGCTAATATTACATGTGATTTCAATACCTCTAGTTGCTGAACATCTAGTACTTTAGAACATATACCTTTGAAAACATTACAAACCTCAATAATTACTTTTGTCACATGTTTGGGCAATGATTTCCTTAATGCTACAGGAAGGATATCTTGCATCAAGATATGATAATCGTGTGACTTAAGACCCTGAAGTCTATGCTCCATTACATTCACATAATTTGAAATATTTGAGGCATAACCATCAGTGAGCTTAAAGTTATTTAGAACCTTGCAAAATAACTCCTTCTCATCATCAGACATCAAGTAACAAGCAATTGGGATGCATGTCCTGCCATCTTCTGTAGGCTTAGGATGAAGTTCATGCCTAATACCCATATTGACCAAGTCAAGGCGTGATTTCAAGTTGTCTTTGGACACACCTTCAACACCCAACATAGTGCCTACAAAGTTTACCCCAACATTTTTTTCATATGCATGACATCTATGTTATGCCTCGAGAATTGAATGCCAATATGGAAGATCAAAGAATATACTTCTCTTCTTCCATAATCCAACCTCACTTGGATCCTCATCACCTTCTTCAACTTGTGCAACATGTTCACCTTGTGTCCTTTTCCTCTTTGCTTGCTTGTTTTTTTGTCACCTTTCCATATGTAAAGTTCAAGCTTTCCAACTTTTTTAGCACTTCATCCCCTATTAATGGAACAGGAGCAACTCTCTGTTCCACAGTGCCATCAAAAAGTTGCGCTTGAAAA